TTTTTTTCTATGGTGTTTTTGTCAAAAACAAAACACCATGCGTTTGGAAACCATAGTGTTTTCTGAACTAAATCATCCTCAAACCCAAAACACAACACTTATTTCAAAACACATTTTAGGTGTTTTAAGTTTGGTGTTTTGGTTTTGAGTTTGAGAATGTGTTAATATAATATATATCTAACAGAATATATTAAATGTAATTAATATAGAGCTAATATCAACATGCTTATTATACTATACTATACTATATAATATTATAGTTAATTTAATATATTGTAATATTTATTAAATAATATAAAAATATAATAAATAAAATATCTTATATAATAATATAATAACATATTAAATACCAGTATTTAATATGTTAATAATGTATTATATAATAATAAATAATAATAAAATATAAATAAACTAATAAAAATAATAAAAAAGTTATTGATAATAAGTAATAATATAATAATGATATAATAGTATACTATAACATAGTTAATCGCTTATACATTATTAACTTTTAATAAATAAATTTTAATAAATAAATTTTAATAATATTAGTAATTATAAAATATTATATATAGTAACATATTAATAATAATATAATAATATAATAATATATTGTATAGTAAATGTAATATAATAATAAAAATTAATATATTATATAATAAATAATACAATTTATTGTAAAGTAAAATAATTTTTAGCAATAAATAACTTATTGCTAACAAATGTTAATGTAAAAATAATATATTCAATAATGTAATAATATTTATTTATATCATAAATACTAATATATTATTAAAGTACTATATATAAACTCTGCATATTAAAAACTACAATATATTATATAATATTAATTAATTTATTAATAGCATACTAGTAATAGGCATAATACTTACATTATTAATAATAATAATATTAATTAATAATAGTATAATATAATATATATAATAAAATAATAATATTTAAAATTATTAATATAATAGACAACAATAACAAATTGATATACAAAAATAATTAAATATATAATTATTTTAAAAAAATGTAATATTATAATATAATATAATTATATAATATAATAACTCATTATTTGTACAATGTAATATTATTCATTATCAATATTTAGCATTATATTTAATACTTATAATACTATAATAATGTAAACTAAATATTATAACATTTTATTTATAATATATTTCATTATAATTAATATATAATATATTAATAATATGTTTAATACTAATGTTATAATGGGTCAAACTAGTGTTGACAAAAAATACTTAACATTGTGTTTTGAAAACATTTTAAGGGAAAAACACAACACAATGATGTTTTTTTATAAAAACATAACAAGGAAAACACTACGGTATCCAAACTAAGAGAGTTTTAGTGTTTCAAGACACCTATGTAATATAAATTTTCAAATTTTTTCGTTAAATGTGCTTCAAAAATATCTGATTCACATGATAAGATGCTTCAAAAATCTATTTGCCCATATTCATAGTGTCAATAGAAACGGAATCCCATGTCCTACTAAGAAGCAAAAACTCCTTAAGGCACGTAGATAGGTGTAGATAAACTTCATTTTAAGTTTTAACATTTATTTATTTCTTCCATAGGAAAAGGGAAATACGTACCGAAACTAAATTAGTAGTTTGCTTTCTTCTTTCTTGCAAGAAGGAAACCAAAAATGAAGCCTGTAAGCAAAATTGAAACGTAGGACCATCTGTTTTTGTGAAAACGACTGATGATTTATGTCACATTTGTTAGGTGACAACTCTTTAATGATCAGGACCACTCATGCGCATTTGTTAGGTGACAAATATTTATATTTATTTTTGAGAATACTGATGCCCTTAACCTTAATGCACTAACATGGAAATAGTCACTGACCAAGATTAACAAATTGCAGAAGGCAGGAATATGTATTAAAGATGTGCAATCATATTTAATTAACTGAAGTAGAGAGATTATATTGAAAATCTCATATCTTGCAGCTTGTGCGCTCGTCAGCTCAGCTTTTCACAACAGGCATTTGTCTTCAAAGTAGGATATTTGAGATACCCTGTTGTTCTCATTTTCGCTCGTCATAGCATTATCTCAATTTGCAATGTAATTGTCGGCCATCTGCAGATTTGCAGTCTATATATCCAGCGCAACAAAGGTAGATGAACATGAAGTATACATATGTAATGCAACAAAATTTCTTCGAAAGAAATTTCAATGCCAGTTTACTTTTCTTACGTTGTTTGCTTGAAATTGAAGATCACAAGCTTACACGTGTATAGTTAATCAAAATCAACGGCATCAAGTACAGGGCAAGCTTATAATTTATGTCGTTAAGTTTGTGGATGAAATAGTACTCATCAGGGGCGGATCCAGGATTTCAAATAAGGGTTGTCATTTATCAAGTCTACTGCCTACTGCCTACCTAATCAATTTGGACTATTAATTATATAAAATGTCAAATTTAAAAGACAAGTATCTAACTAACACCATTACACCAACGAAACATATTTGCATAATTTGTGTAATGGAAATGTTTGCAAAACGGCAACGTCAAGTCGTCAATCGTCAAGAAATTGAATTTCATTGTACCAGTTCCTATCAAGTATCTATGTAATAATTATTCTAATCAATCTTTAATCAAAAACTTTTTTAATCATTATTTTAATTACTATTCACATTCATGAGAAATTGAGAATTAAATCTTTCAAATAGACTAATAGAGGAAAAGTTTAAACATACCTGAAATTGGCTCAGCTTTGGACTGCTCTGATTTAATTTGTGAATATTTAGATAAGTTTATGGAAATTTAGGATTTCTAAATTTTAGAAGAAGAAAAATAAAAAGGATAAGAGAATGGCCTAAATTGAAGGGGTGAGGGGATGGAATCGTGATCCGTGATCAGTAAAGGAAGGGGAAAGGTCTCCCCGCTCCCGCCTCTTTTAGTTTTTTAAACATGAATTGCCTAATTAATGAAAGGAATGAAAAAAAAATTGAGGGTATGCAAAACCACTCGAACCCGCGACCTCTAATAGAAATTTCAAGATTTTTACCATCTCAGCTACATATTCATATAGTCTTGGGGTTGTCATATGCATACTATGACAACCCCGTAAATCCGCCCCTGGTACTCATGTAGGCTGCACGTAAAAGCACCCAAATTCTAGAAACTGTTTTATTGAAATTGACCTAACATCTTGATTAGGTTTAGGTTGTTGGCTATATATCTAAGCCACCCTCTGATGAGGAAAAGCAATTTGATCTTTGCCATTATAAGATCAAAATGCTCCTTCCTTAATTGTGACAAAAGCTCCTTGGACCCTACCAACTCCTTTTGAGGTTGGTGTAGCCTCCTCTCCCTTGTATATATATTAACCTGCTCCCCTCTCAAACTCACAGATAGAGAAATTTTACAACAAGAGAAGAGAAAGAGGGGGAGAGAAGATCTGATCTTGTTTTGACATCGAGAGGTGGCCGGTGCAAGATGGAGAAGCAGGGCACGTGCATTACTATCCGATACACTTAAGCTGTAGTTTGGATAGTTATTCATGTGCCCATCTTTTCCATCATGCACATCCTACCTAAGTTTCAAGATTTATGCTTCAAATCAGATTGGTTGATTCTTACCGATTTCTGCTCGGTGGAGTCTTCACTCATTATCAAGCATAGCTTTGATTCTAGGTGAGCTTAAGCTTTTGTTCTTTCTTACGGTCCTCCCAAGCTTGTGCACGCAAATAATAATGACGACCGCTAAGCCTTTATTCCAAAATCTGGGCTCAACTACATGAATCGTATTTTCCATTCGATTTTGTTAGCCTAATCGTTGTCATATCATTCAGCTTGTTTGTACATGGTATGTCATTTATGATGTAACCGAATTTGTTTGATCGGCACGAGAAGTTTACTGCAACATTTGCATCAATTGCATAGCCGTTTTTCTTTGTCTCTACATTCTTCGTTTTTCTTTATCAGATTTTTTTCTCGGTTTTGTATAATAGTTCTGTCAAGGTTGTTGCTTTCTGCAGGAATAACTAGGGGTGCTATTGTATCGTACCAGTATGCCAGCAGGTAGCATTTAGAGAAACATGAGTTCTTCTGTGACAAAGGCGCTGCATGTGCGTATGTATTTAGTGCAGTTTATCTTTGATTCCACTTCACTTGCTCCATAGATATCAGCATATGATAGATTTGTCACTCTGTCGTAGAATTGAATTTCAGTTAACTTCAGTTTCGAAACGCCATTTGTTGTTTCAACTTAGCAAGTACACGAGATTAAGTGAAGTTGGTTCTCAGGCAGCAAGTCGGGGATTGCTTGAAGCGCTGCCTCCATCGTTTGTAGCCTGAACAAAGTCTAGACTCGCTCGCATTTGACACAGCTAAATGAATGTTAACCATGCGTCTATTGGATTTTCTAGTAACAAGCAGCATTCAGAATCACTGAAGTATACTGTTCAGCAATTACTGTCGCCGTAAGCCTGTAATATGCAGCTGATTAGCCTAGTAACTTTAATCAGAGATAATAAAGTGTCATGTCCTTTAAATTATCCACTTTGAATGAGACATTTATACCTGATTGACATAATGATGCCCGTTTGCATCATGCATTAGTGAAATTTAAGGCATAAATTATAGCTCCCTATGCTACAAATTGAGCATGCCAAATAGAGACTATATAAAGCTTGCTGATTGCGGTGCTCTTGAATATTTTTTAGCCAAATATATTTTTCTCCATTTTCTTGAAATCTTAAAACTGTGTCCAAGGCCTGATCTTCAAGAACTTGATGCTTAAGGTCCAAGATTCACAGTAAAAATAGTGAAGAGAAGTAACAGGAAACAAATGATTCAGTCTCGAGCCAAAAGACTGTCCCTTTTGAAGTAAACAGAATGTGGACACTTCTTCATTGATCTCTGTTTCTGATGGATACGTATCAAACTTTACATTGTGAATGAGGAGAAAATCTTAATAGACAGAGAACTTAAGGTCGAATACACATAACATGTGCGATAACAACATCATTTTCATTTGCCAATGAGCATCAAATATAGAGAAATGCGTTTTACTGAACTGATCATAAATTACATGTACACCCGGAAAATCTGCAAGCTAAAAATTGTAAACTATAGTGAAAACACAATAAGTAAGATCAAATAAAGACTGATTTACAAATAAATGAAACCCTTTTCCTTCTATATATAGTCTGTGTTATCCAAAAAATGTGATGAGCATTGCTATTACTAAAGAATGGTCAATTCCAGGATACACAGTGAGTCGAAATTTATGCCTTGAGTAGATCACCCTCCCTAGCCTGTATAACGGGTTTGTCTGCAAAAATAAGAGCATCCAATTAATCTCTAGACACACACACACGCACGCACGCAAGCTTGGACTTCTGAGATCTATATGAAAATGAAATCAAAATTGAGTCATTTAAGTTACCTGAGCAACAATTGAATCCCTACTGTATATGGTGCAAGATCTCCAAAATCGGTTGCCTTTCAACGTGAAATTTGGTATTTGGTCTCCGATCTCCTTTCCAGATAAGAACACTTCCAGCTCTGACCTAAATTTATAGTCATATACTATCTTTGCTGTGAACACTGAATCCTCACGGTCCCAGTTGTTACCTCTGAAGCATTGCCATCCATCCTACAAGGGAAACATATCAATAACTCAAAAACAAGATAAACGAGATAAATATGCTTTAATGTGACAGACGGAATTATTTAGTAAGAATCAAGTTCTAACATGAAATACAAAGTTGCATAAAGCTTATTCAGTTACATAAAATCAACTGAAAATGTGAAACAAGATAAGTAGAAGATATTGTTTTTCTTGCAAGTATAAAAAACAATTGAGGCAAGCATTTCTTTGTTTAAGATTAAGGTGAAATGTGACTGATTGAACAAAGAGGTCATTGAATTTTAGTATATTCAAAGGACACCTCTCGACTATTTATTAGAGAAAAAGGTGGTAATTATCAAATCATATATTACCAGATCATATATTACCAAAGCAGGAGCAAATTGACAAATACATATTTTGATGAATTCTTTCGTGCTAGCAATAGTAGTAAAACAAGAGTTGTAAAACAAGGGTAAAGTCACAATGAAAGGCTGCCTATTGTCCAAATAAGCATTCTAAAGTGTGGTCGAATATCCACTTTAAGTAGTACTACTGAAAAGTAGTTGATCATTATTCATTGCCATTCCCCTACAGATGTAACAGAGGGGATGTTCTTATGCTTCCCAGCTAATTTAATGAGACAAAAAGAAGGTACAAGTTTCTCCAGTAATAAGCACCCGTACACATTCAATACCTCATTAATAACCTTAGTTAAATGTTTTGAGTAATATTCTTGGTGCACACATATTAGTTAAATGTTTTGAGTAATCTTCTTGGTGCACACATATATTTGGGTATGACAGTAGTAATGAAGACGATAGCAATATCGAGAAACTCCAAGCAGTAGATCATGCACATGACTCTGCAACTTTAACCTAATATTGTGATTTCTTAAAGTAGTTATGTTCAGATGGATTGGATTACTGAGATGGTACGGTTAGCAATGCATGAAATTGATACGTTGAATATGACAACAAATCTCCATCATCAGGATGGAGATCTCTAGATAGCGGTGAAAATGAACCAAATAATAACAAATAATTTGATAATTGTTTGAATAACTATTCGGTCATATTCGATTCGGTAGTTCATTTACCACTAAACGAATATTTTTTAGTATTCGAGTTTACTAATGAATAGAATTTAACCAGATGTATATTTGATTCGTTTGTCTATTAAATATTCGTTTAAAATTTGATCACAGCTTATTATTTGTATTATTGCACATATGATGTCATATTTTTAATCCACTTACCATTTCTACTTAAGTTTTATATACTGATTTTAAGACTTAAATAATCTTAAATCTGTTTTCTAATTAAAATTTTGATTTAAATATATATACATCATATATTATATAGGAATAATTTTTATTTATGAATTTAAATATTATTTGAAAATCAAAATCTTTAGCGAGATAAATACACTTGGATATTCGATAAGTATTCGTGAATATTCATGAATATTTATCAAATACCAAGTATTCGAGTTCGAATTCGAAAAACTAGATATATGAATATTAGAGTCCGCATTTGAATTCGATAATTTTAAACAAATACAAATATGAACACCTTAGTATTCGATTCGATTCGATCGTTTACCACCCCTATCTCCATATGTACATGAATAGCATTTATTAACGTATGTATAGGGCATGACATACATAAACTATAAAAAAACATGTCTGATATATGAGGAAAGTACTAAAATAAGACATAACCATGGCACAATCTCTATTTTCTAGTATCCAATATATATTTCTATACCTATGTGTACTTGCATTCAATGTATGATGTTGTATTATGAGTGAAGATAGTCGCCTCTATGTATGTGAGGTCTGTGTGTAACTGAGATTAAGGTTTAAGATATATTCCACGTGTGCATTCCTCGTGCTTTGATTAATGAAACTCTTGTGCCAGGCATAACCCCATGGTAAAACCACAGGTACATGTGTTGCTTCATCTACTTAACATATAATGTACTTGACAGTTAGGTGTGATCTGGGGATTTGTTGTAACAAACTGGTATCAGGGCCTTAAATTATTATCAAACAACAACATGTTAATGATCACCACAAATTGTGAGTGTCTGACATGTTTGAATGGTTCAAGATGCAAGATGTTATTGCAACAATACATGCTCTACAGTTGAAGAAGAATCTCATTACACCATTGACTCCCTTTGGTGAAGTGGACCACTAAAAGTGGAGATAGCAAAGTGAGCAAAGATGCTCTAACTTTGAGGAGCGTCAATGACATTAAAAGTTTGTATATAGTGAAAGGCTATATATTGTGAGATCTCACACCCTGTTGTTTGTGGATCCTCATTGACATGGATAATAAGTAGCACTTTGACCCAGAATTGACACCTGAAGAATCACTCCTGTTCCCAATGTTGAATAGTGCGTGGGGATTTAGAGGGCAGCACCCACAAAACAAAAATTAAATTTACAGCCTGTTTGGTGAGGGTGTTTTAGTAATTTTGGTCCTATAGGCAAAAACTCTCATATAAATATGTATCACAATGATTGTTGAACCTCATTGCATCCCTTTGTTTATGTGGTTGTTTCTCTTTGTTTTCGTTCTTTCTTTCATCGATCTAAAGTAAAATTCCATTTTGTGGCTAACACTTACCCCTCCCCTACCCCATAATTCTTAATCAACCTAGATAATACACATAAAATTTACTAGTAATATACAACAAGTCGAATAATTATCTAATAACCATGGTATTACTCCATTGTGTGGCACTTCCCCTTCCCTATCCCGTAACTCTTAATGAATCTACATAATGCAATTTACTACTAATATGCAACAAGTCAAATTAGATTATCTCCTAACCATGGTGTCGCAATGAAATTATATCACATAGTAGAGTTTAAATCGATCCACAAGAAACCACCCATCATGATGCCCATAGGTGGAGGATTGAAGGAGTGGGGCGAGGCCATGGTCCCCCGGCCCACACACAAGTCATGTAGTGTTGGGTGTAACCCCATATGTCTAACTGTCTAAGTATTTGAGCAAAAATCCTTTCAGTTTAGCCAAGCACCAAGCCCGGTTCCCACTTCATTAGTAAAAGAATTTGGATCTGGATTTTGGATGTAATCCAACCTGAATCTAATAAGACCTCACCTCAAATTAGAATTCTCATGAACTCCCACTCTCGGCTTCATTCTTCTTCTTCTTCCTTTTTATGTGATTTTTTTTGGGAGTTTTTCCCAAATTAAATGCAAACTCCAAATTTTCTCAATAATTTCTCCAAATCCAAGAATTATATTTGTGTTGAGTTTTGGGGATTTCCCCCCTCAATTCTAGAGACAATTTGGGGGTATTATCAAAACCCTAAAGGTACGATCTTTTTCTCTTTTCATTCTTTTTTTTTTAAAGTTGCATTGTTTAATTATTGGTTTCTATTTTTTTGTGATGAGTGTTGTTTATTTTACTTTATTTTTTAATTATATGTACTAATTTGTTTAGTAAATCCTATATGTAAAATGGTTTATTTATTTATTTCTACTGCAATGACTAAACAAGCATTTTGCCTATGAAACTTGCAAAGACCGGATTGCATAACAAGGTGGATGATGATTTTTTTTTGCTGACATTTCGCTTATTTTTAGTAATAGAGATATTACAAAGACTTTTAGTTTCCATTAAGGGCGCAGCGCACATTTTTTATTTTATTTTATTTTATTTTTTGAGAAAAAGGATGGATTACCACAATGGTAATCCAGCCAGCTAAATTAATCAAAAGTGGTTGTTACATAAAAATACACACCCCCAACCAAGAGTGTGTATTGAAGTCCATATTAGGATTAAGCTTTTACTTGAATTTATCTTTGTAGTCAATGCAAACTCTATGCATGTGCTTTTATGGATAGTTTTTGTATCATCTATCTCCGCTGTCATATTTGTATATGTTTTGTTCCTACTGAAGAAAACTTAAGACTAGTTTCCAGAATTACAATCTTTACCGGGTTAGACTTGGGGGAAAAAAAACTAATCTTTGAACTCCAAAATCCCCATTTTCCATAAACCCCTTAACATCGAGCGATAACAAATTAGCAACCCAACCAAAGATAGTAGCCAATAATTAAAGCAGCACAAAAAAAAAAATCAAAGAAAGAGAGAGAATCGAGGGCTTACATCACGACGAACGACCGAGATCATCGGACTGCCGTGTACGTCGAACAGAGTCTTGATCCGATGAGATGACGACGACGACGACGGCGACGACCGGCCGGTGACTCTATACAACTTGTTGCCGTACGCATCGTAGACCTTGAGGTTGTCCTTGATGATCCCCAGGTGGCCTTTACGGATCATGAAGTCGATCGGGATCTGCCACGTCGACGGGAAAATGGGAGCGGACATTTTTGCTTCAGGGTTTGGGGAAAGAAATGAGATTTGGGACCAGAATCGGTACGTTTTGCAAATATATAAGTTTGGAGGGGGGATTTGAGCCGGCTTTATTTAATATAAGTCGTGACTCGTGATGTACTTTTGTTAGGCTGTTTGATGGGGACAGGGACCGAAAAAGACGAGATTCTCCCTACTCGCTCACCGAAAGGAAATGGGGTTGGGATCAGTTAATATTATATATATTTAATTAATCAGCAAAAATAAAAAGAGTGTTGGCTTCCCTCCATAAAAAAGAAAGAGAGCTTTGAAACGCTTTTAGAACGTTGTACTTGTATTCCAAAAGTAAAGTTGTATATTTAGGTTCATGCACTTGGAAGTAATGCACATAGACCTAATCAATTGCATAATTTTGTGAATATTCAGCTGGACCTGACCTACAATTATGTTTTTGGATTTTTTTTTCAATAAAAATTAGAAACCTCGAGATAAAGTGAAGCCTAATCAAAACTTTCGATCGTATTTATAATTTTTTTATTTTTTGTAGTCCTCTTTTAATAAATGTTTAGTTAATTAATGGAGGGAGGGAGGGTGACAAGGGCTTGAGTACATAGACGCGTATTTGACGAACATATTTGTGTCATTGTGTGCGTCTTTTAAAATGTTATGCTTTTGGTATGTATTCGAAAAATGTAGTTTGTGCTTGTAGGTTTATATACTTGTACTTTGGAAGTAATGCGATTAGACTTAGTCCATCTCCATCTAATTTTGTGGAATTTCAGAATTTGCGGACTTGATCAATATGAATTTGGATTTTTCAATAAAAACTATAATCTAGAATCCTTGACCTCAAGACTCTTATTCTCGCACTAGTTTAAAAGTTTCGTAAATACTATAATTTTCTATTGTTGTTCTAATAAACATCTAATTAGGCGGACATGGTAGAAACGACGACGAAGTTTAGGAGAAAACAAGCATGAGGCATTTTGGAAGCTTCACGGTCGACCGCGAACGTGCACATGACAGGGGTTCGTCTCTAGACTTTTGGCGGTCGACCACGATGGGTTCTGCGGTCCACCGTGCCAAAACTCTGTAGGCGATTTGGTCTCTGGACTTTTGACGGTCGACCGCATGATGGGTTCGGTGGTCGACCGCGTAGCGGGATTGGACCTGATTCTGTTTTCTGATATGTTTTATTATGAGTTGATATATAACCCTAAACACGTTTTTTAGGGTGATGTAAGGATGTTTTTGAGCAGCTTTTGAGAGAGTATTGTGCACTCTTTGTGGGAGGATTTGTGAGAGATCTAGAGAGATTTGTTTGAGGGTTTATTGGTGAGTTTTGTAACCCTATTTGTATTCTCTTGATTTTTAATAGTAAGACCTCCCCCTTCCTTGCTCCGTGGACGTAGGCAACTTCCCGAACCACGTAAAACTGGTTTGTTCTTGCTATGGTTGTGATTTGTGCTTGTATTGGTTGTTATCTATTTCGTTCTTGCTCGTGCACTATTTGGCTTTCGAGCACCCGTTGCGCACAACAAGTGATATCAGTGCTTCAGGTTTGGATTGGGGCTTGTTAGAAGGATTCACTGAAGGATTCTTATTTAGAGTTAGATCGACAACATGAGAGAAGTAAGCACATCAGGTTCGTCTCTTACGTAGGAGATACAAAGTCTGAGCATCAATAATACGAAGATTGATGTTCCTAAGTTCGACGGAAAGATCAATTTTGGTCTGTGGAGGTGCTAGGTGATGGATGCGTGTGATGCACAGAATTTGGAGGAGGCACTTGAGTTATAAGAGAAACCTGAAGACATGAAAGACAATGTTTGGAAGAAGATGAACAGTAGGGCTTGTGGAGTTATTCGGTCATACTTGACGCCGAATCTTATTTATGATGTGATGAACGAGACGTCGGCGAAGAAATTGTGGGAAACGCTCAATGAAAAGTACCTTACTAAGAGCATTGAGAATCAGCTTCATTTGAAGAAGAGGTTTTACTAGTTCAAGATGAAGATGAGAGTTTCTATTAGGGAGCATGTAAACGACTTCACGAAGCTACTTTCAGATATGACTAATGTGGATATCATGGTTGAGGATAAAGACAAGGCGATGCTACTTTTGTGTTCGTTGCCGAAGGATGATTACGGAACATCCATTCTCACTATAATCAATGAAAGATCTACTGTTAGCAATAATGAGGTGACTTCAGCGTTGGTAAATTATGAGTTGAGGAAGAGTGATGCCGAATCCTCCGAGAAGGCATCAGGAGATGTATTAGTAGTTCAAGACCGTAGTCCAAACCGTCGCCAAGTCAACCGCTCAAAATCAAAGAATAGAGGTGGCTATAAGAGTGTTGGTAGGAATCAATGCCACTTTTATAAAGAAGAGAGACATTGGAAGATTGACTGCCCAAAGTTAAAGGACAAAGCCGAGAAGAATAAGGGAAAAGCTGTACAAATTTCAGAAGTGAATATTACAAAAGTCGTTGGTGAGCATTCAGATTCAGATTCTTCATGTTATTCATGCTCTGCATTACCGTCGGTTTTCTATACCGACTCTACGGAGTGGATGCTGGATTCGAGGCTACATATCATATTTACCCTAGAAGAGATTGGTTCTCCAGCTTTGAGGAGCTAGAAAGAGGGGATGTCATGCTTATAGGTAATGATCATATATGCCCTATTGGTGGTATTAGTTTAGTCCGGATCAAGATGCATGACTGTGTGGTTAGGGAGTTAAAAGAAGTGAGGTTTATACCGTAGTTGACGAAGAATATCATTTCTCTTGGTACTTTGGAGGTAGCAGGTTATCGGGTGACCTTAGAGGATGCTATTGTGAAGGTCACGAAGGGTTCTATGATGATGATGCGAGGTGTCAGGAAAAATAACTTATACTACTTGAAGGGCAAGACAGTTACAGGGGGTCTGACAGCTTCTATCACTACAGAGGATGACACTATCAGCTTATGACACATGCGTTTAGGACACACTGATAATAAGTCCCTGCAGACATTGGCGAAACAAGGGCCATTGAAAGGTGCGAAAACCTGCAAGATGGAGTTGTGTGAGCATTGTGTACTTGGGAAGAAGACTAGAATGAAGTTTGACACCACTATTCACAATACCAAATGTATATTAGATTATATTCACACAAATGTTTGGAGCCCTTCCAAGCACACATCACTTGGTAGGGCCAACTATTTTGTCACTTTCATTAATGTTAGGTCTCATGTTATGAGCCTACATCTTCTAATCTTATTTTGATGATTACAAATAATTCTTAATGTTATTTGTCTAGTGTTTATGTTTCTTATTAGGTATTCTAGACAAACAACAATGTTGGAGGATGGATGGAATCGAGCATTCACGATCACATCAAATTAATGGAGGTTGGCGGAATAGTGGTTGAAGGCTTGCAATTCAAGTTGAAGATTCAAGTTCAAGCTTCATCCGCAAGTTTACCAAGTCGAGCTTATTGAAGACCTTCATTAAGCTTGGGTAATTTAGTTTAGGTTTTATATTATGTGTGTTAGTACTTTAAGCTCAATTATATACACACATACATATTTTAGTTTTTGTATATATATATATATATATATATATTTATATATATATATATATATATATATATATATTTCATTAAGCTTGGGTAATTTAGGTTAGGTTTTATATTATATGTGTTAGTACTTTAAGCTCAATTATATACACACATACATATTTTAGTTTTTGTATATATATATATATATATATATATTTATATATATATATATATATATATATATATAT